ATCTATGGCACACTTAAGCAAGGCTGTAAGTGTATCTGCATATTTTGATTCTTATGTAGCTGCCGTCCACCACAAGGCATGCCCAGGTGGCTGTTCTACAACTTGACCTGGAATGAGAGGTATATGGAACCACCTGGTCCTCAGCTGCAGTCCGGAACTGAGCCCAGCTGAGCCATGACTATCCACAGACCAGTGAGCAAGAAATGCATGTTGTTATATCAAGCTGTGAAGATCTGGGGCTGTTTATCACCCCAGCAAGAGCTGATCAACGTAGGCAGGAACTGTGTGTCCTCAGAACTGAATCTCTGCACTTCCCCTGATCATCAGTACAACAGCAATCTCACACCATATTTTTAAAACAAGGGATTTCTGAGATGTTAATGATGTTATTACCCCCCAGTGGAGAAATTGCTTGAGATTAAATGTCCATTTTATACCAGCACTAAGGTCTTTAGTTTCCATCCCAATAAATATTGAAATCTAAGGAAGATCATCACGCTTGCTTTATAAACATAGCTTCAAGAAAGTCCTCTCCCTCTCCTCTATCTACCTGGAACACACAAGCTTCTCTGTATATATATATTCTGGATCCAGCCTTGCAAGCACACTGGGCTCCTTAGCAAGATCCTGGAAAATAAAGCAGTAAGCCATGGGCCTGGGAAGACTTGGTGCTTTCAGGGCCTCTCCAGTCATATCTGAGTGTTAGAGTGTGCCCTCAGTCAGTTTGTTCATTCAGTAAATATTGTGGACTTTAAACTTATGTGACAGGTAGTGCTGGGTGCTGGATATCCATGGTGATCAAGACAAATAAACTCATTGTCCTCCATGAGCGTTTATTCTCATGGGGGAGGCTGACCAAACCAAGAGCTAGCAAGGAATCTAACAAGCTACTGTTACTGATAGAATTGCTGGAGGAAGATGATATTTATGTTAAATATATTAAAATTGAAAATTTATTTTCTATAAGCCAGTACTTTTAAGTCAAAGGTACAAATAGATATTTAATAAAAGTTTTCATCCCACTTCATTTCCTAAAGCACCTAGTTCTCTTCGGAGGCAAAGGTGTCAGTCTCTCATATATCCTTCCAGATAGCATATGTATATACAAGTACATTTATGTCTATTTCCCCCTTTTCTTATGCAAATAGTATCATGATGTATATATTTTTTTATGTCTACTTTAGCGGAAGATGCATCTTAAAAATTTTCCATATCTGTACATAGAGTTTGCTTAGATTTTTAACCCTTTCTTTCTTTCTTTTTTTTTTTCTTTCTTTCTTTCGGTGAGAACACTTAAATTCTACTCTCTTAGCAAATTTCAATTTTATAAAATACAGTGTTATCAACTACAGTCGTCACATTATGCATTAGATCCTCAGAACTTATTCATCTTATAACTGGAAGTTTGTAGCTTTTGACTAACCTCTCCCTATCTTCTCACCCCTCAGCCCCTGACAACTAGCACTCTACTCTCTGTTTCTATGAGTTTGACATTTTTTTTTAAGATTCCCCGTATAAGTGATACCATGCAGTATTTGTCTTTCTCCGTCTGCCTTATTTCACTTAGCGAAATGCCTTCCAGGTTCATCCATGTTGTCAGAAATGGCCAGATTGTCTCCTTTTTTTAAGGCTGAGGGAGTTGTGTGAGCAAAGGCCAGGAGATGAGTATGAACTAAACAGAGTCGAGGTTATGAAAGATCGGCATGTCTAGAGCTGTCCTGCTCACTGGCTGCATGTAGCTATTGAACACTTGAAATGTGGCTGGTCTGTAAATGTAACATGCACAGTGGATTTCAAAGACTAAGTGTGAAAAAAGATGTAAAATACCTCATTAATAATTTTTTATGTTAGCTTCATGTTGACATAATAGTTTTGATCTATTGCATTAAAATATGTTATTAAAGTTAATTTCACCAGTTTCTTTTTATTTTTTATTGTGGCTGCAAGAAAAATTTAACCTACATATTGGCTTGCATTGTATTTCTAGTAGAGCAGGGGTTGTAAACTATGTACTGCAGGCGAGGTTTGGCCTATAGCCTGTTTTTCTGTGGCTGGAGCACTAAAAATAGTTTTTACATTTTTAAAGAGTTTTAAAAAGAGAAAGTCTAAGAAAAATATGCAATAGACACAGTATGTGGCCTGCAAAGTCTAAAATATTACCATCTAGCCCTTTACACAAAGGCATTGCCAACTTTTGGTCTTGAACATACTGAGAAAGACGAGGCAGTAGAATAAGATGACAGAAGAAGATGGGGTCCAGATCACAAAGGGCCTTGTGAACCATCCTAAGTTTGGATTTTATAAAGAGAGCAATAGGACGCTAAAGAAGGATTTTAAGCAGGAGACTGAAATGATCAGATTCAGTTTTTAAATGATAATTGTGTGAGCATGTGTGTGCACACGCACACACGCGCACACACACACACACACTCCTTAAACATCCCACTCCTAGGACTTATCTAGAATAAAGTGTCACAATGTTGCTTTACCAAAAACTGTCACTGGAAGAGTAGGTTGGGAAGGAGGGGAGATAGTAATTTTACACCAAAAGCACAGAGCTCTGCATTGTCATTGTAATCACATTGTCATCTTAGCATTTAATATGTGCCTTGCATTTTCCAAGCTGCCTGCCTTATCTTGTTGACTGTATTTTGTTTCTTCTAAGTGAATACAGTTCTCTTGGGTAATAACTAGCAAGGGTGAGAAGAAGCATAGTCCAGAGGCCACCTGAATGACTCTATTCCCAAGGCCAACTTACGAGAAGTGTGAGCTCAGCCCGGTTTTAACCCTTGGCTTCCACTAGTAGTGATGTGGACATGTGCAGCTGTGTGATTTGTTAGCTCCAGTGACCTGAGCAGATCACAGAGAGAAGCAGCCTGCCTGCAGCACTCTGGAAGTTTACAAACCAGCAAGCCATGGTGGCGAGCTGTTCAAAGCTCTCCCTGCTCATTTTTCTCTTTAGTACTACTCAGATCGCTTACTAGTACCGGGATAATCTGTCTCACTTCTGGGGTCCCACAGTATAATCTGTTTCTGTTGTCGAAATGAGACTTGTCTCTCTGCTTTCTTGAGTTGTACCATGTCAGGATACAGTAAGTCCTCACTTAATGTCGTTCATGGGCTCTTCGACTTAAAGCGAAATGACATATAACGAAACCAATTTACCATAGACTAGTTGATACAAACAATAGTTATGTTCCTACAGCATCTCATTAGTGTTAAAACTAAACAACATTGTTTGAGGACCTGCTGTATTGTAGAGAGGTTTGGTATCCTACACAACTCTAATGGGCAGGGTAGGCTAACTGTTGTAATGAGTCCAAAGATCATTAGTGGCTAGACACAGAGGTTTATGTATAACTCACAATACATCCCACTCTTGGAAGTGAGCAGTGGGAGAGATCTTTGTTCCGTGCAGCCATTCAAGGACGCAGGCTCCTGCCATCTGGCGGCTCCACCCATCTCTAGATCTACCGAGGTTGTTTGTTCAGCTAGCAGATGGAGAAAGGGAAAGTTGAGAGGCACAACTGCTCTCAACCACCTTGGCCCAGAAGTCACACCCATCACTTTGCTCACATTTTACTGGCAAGCCCTAGTCACATGACCTCACCTAGAAGAAGACGGGCTAAGAAATGTGGTCTTTCTGTGTGCCCAAGAAGGAGAGAGCACGGATCTGAGAGCACCAGAGACTCTGCACCATGGCAGCCTTGTCTGGTGCCTGGGTAGTCCTTCCTGCAAGATAATTCACAAGCTAGGCTGTTTTCTTCTGAATGTGTGCAAATTATTACGCTTGTGATGTAATAGGTTTACTCTCTGTTCTGTAGACTTCAGTGAGTTTTGCATTGACCTTAGTGGTATTGTGCTGGTTTTCTCCTTTTAATTCTGCTTTTTGTTTTGTTTTGTTTTTGTTTGTTTGTTAGTTTGTGTTGGTGTGAGTCAGTAGATCATTAGGTCTACTTAGTCCTAAGGTATTACTTGAGGTTGTAGTATATATAGATAGATTTAATGGCATTTTTAGTCTGCATTATTTTGCTCGGTAACATATTTAATCTTCACAATAAACCTATGAGATAAGTTTTATTACTGTCTCCATTTTAGGGGTTAGGAATCTAAGATGTGGAGGGTGAAGTGACTTTTTACCAAGTGAGTGGCCAAGCAGGGATTCAGACCAGCATGTACCTGACTCCAGGCCTGTACGGTTTGTCATTGTGTCACGCAACATTCTTTTCTGGAACTGGCTAGATGCGACTGTCTTCTCCATCTTCATCTCTGCCCACCCCTCCTCTCCCTGAAAAGCTGCTCATGGATCTTTCTTCAGACATTTCCTTCTCTCCTAAAGTCTGGAGCTCTAGAGTTTGCTTGCACATGGGAGACCCTTTCCCTCACTGGTTTCCACAGCAGTTCTGTAAAAGATAAAATGGGAGAACAATCAAGATTAAATTAATATGCAACTTTAAGTATATTTGCATGAGATTAGAGAAATAGGAATAGAAGATTTTGACAAAGACATTTCAGGGAACCCTAAATAGTTCTTGTTTGTTTGTTTGTTTGTTTGTTTGTTTGGCATGTGCAGAAAAGACAGTTTTCAGAAATTACATCAACAAGTATTTACAATGTACTTACATTGGAGCTTACTTTAATGTGCATTTCCTTTGTGTCAAGCCTTGCTTTTTTGCATCTGTTTAAGAACCCAAGTTTATGTAGCTGCCGAATTGACATAATGATCTTACTACCTGGTGATTTACTGGCACATTGTAAATTTAACTAAGCATCTGCAGGCATGGAGACTTGGTCAGATGCACTGAGGTTTCCTTACTCATAGAAATAATAAAAGAATTCAAAAGATCATTAACAGATACAACCAAAGAATACTGTACTGGAGACTTAAGTCTCTAGTTGCTATGCAGCCTAAAATTAGAATTTCTGGTTTGATATGTGCTGAGTTCAAGCCCCAGATTTTTTTAAAGCCCTTTACCGTTCTCTACTTCCTCTTTCTTTAGGTTTGACTTGCACTGATTTTGGCCTCCGGTCCAGTCCAGAATGGTTTGTTCTTGGGACCAGACCTGACCAGAAGTGACCTCATGAGCACATCAACCTCTCCAGCTGCCATGCTCCTCCGGAAGCTGAGGCGGCTCTCCTGGGGCAGCACTGCTGTCCAGCTCTTCATCTTAACGGTGGTGACGTTTGGCCTGCTGGCCCCCCTGGCCTGCCACCGGCTTCTACACTCTTACTTCTATCTCCGCCATTGGCATCTGAACCAAATGAGCCAAGAGTACCTGCAACAAAGCTTGAAAGAGGGTGAAGCTGCCCTCCACTACTTTGAGGAGCTGCCCTCCGCCAACGGCTCAGTGCCCATCGTCTGGCAGGCCACGCCCCGTCCCTGGCTGGTCATCACGATCATCACCGTGGACAGGCAACCTGGCTTCCACTACGTCTTGCAGGTGGTGTCCCAGTTCCACCGACTTCTTCAACAATGTGGACCCCAGTGCGAGGGACACCAACTCTTCCTGTGCAACGTGGAGCGCAGTGTAAGCCATTTCGATGCCAAGCTGCTGTCCAAGTACGTCCCCGTGGCCAACCGCTATGAAGGCACCGAGGATGATTATGGCGACGACCCTTCAACCAACTCGTTTGAGAAAGAGAAGCAGGACTATGTCTATTGCCTGGAGTCCTCCCTGCAGACCTACAACCCAGACTACGTCCTGATGGTAGAAGACGACGCCATTCCAGAAGAGCAGATCTTCCCAGTTTTGGAGCACCTGTTGCGGGCTCGCCTCTCTGAGCCGCACCTTAGAGATGCCCTTTATTTAAAGCTCTATCATCCCGAGAGGCTCCAGCACTACATCAACCCAGAGCCCATGAGGATCCTGGAGTGGGTCGGTGTGGGCATGTTGCTGGGGCCCTTACTGACCTGGATATACATGCGGTTTGCCAGCCGTCCGGGGTTTAGCTGGCCCGTCATGCTCTTCTTCTCCTTGTACAGCATGGGTCTGGTGGAACTGGTGGGCCGGCACTATTTTCTGGAACTGCGGCGGCTGAGCCCTTCCCTGTACAGTGTGGTCCCTGCTTCACAGTGTTGCACCCCGGCCATGCTCTTCCCTGCCCCTGCGGCCCGCCGGACACTCACCTACCTGTCCCAGATATACTGCCACAAAGGCTTTGGCAAGGACATGGCACTGTACTCGCTGCTGAGGGCCAAGGGAGAGCGGGCCTATGTGGTGGAGCCCAACCTGGTAAAACACATCGGGCTCTTCTCCAGCCTCCGGTACAACTTTCATCCTAGTCTGCTCTAGCAGGTCAAGAAATGTCTTTCTGAAAATGTCCACTTCTTGGAGATTGAAATAAGGAGCTCTTTACTTAGATATGGTCACTTGTAGATATTTCATTGTTTAATGTTGCTGGAGATATAGGCGCTGGGACAGCTGAGGAATGGGACAGCTGAGAAACGGGACAGCTGAGGAACAGACCCGCCAGGAACCTTGGCTTTGGTAACCCTATTGGGAGCAGCCGTTGGCCACAGGTCCAGACCTCTGTCCCTTCCACAAAGCCACACTGCCTCATGCAGTCTGACCCACCCAACGAGGGGGCATTTAAATGCCTGTTACATTCTCTAGTTGTTTTCAGCTCTGGTTCGTGATGGAGCTTGTGACTGCCAAAAATATTGTACACCACGATATGACTGTTTTAGGCTTTTAAGCGTAGAATTTGGTGAAAGGTGAGATCCTTTCTAATCGATTTCATCATCATTGGGCATGAGAATGGATGTACGTTTGGAATATATGTTTAAAGAGGCAGGACCGTGTTGATAGACGCCACTTGTTTCCTTAACCTGGTGTAATAAAAGCTGTGCAGTGCCCAGCATCCTGGAAGCAGGTGACCTGGCTTCTGTTACCTGCCTTTTTCTTTTCCACACATCTGTAGTGCACTGATAATCAGTATTGCTAGTGAGAACTTTAAGGCATAGCAGAATTTGAAAGCACCTCATGGATCATCAAAGTCAGATTTTTATGTTTAGTAGTGATTTAATGTTGAAGATTTCTATCATATTCTAATTATTTGAAAGTTGGACATTGCAGAATGATATAGAATGGGTGAGCTCTTTACTGATTGCATATCTTTTCCCTGAACTTTGCTGGCTAACTCGCCCTCATTTCTTTTTCTTCTAGGTAGCATGATGATATAGAAGGGAAAACATGGACTGGGAAGTCAGAAGACCTGAATTTCTATTTCAGGTCTGTCATGGCCTACTGCTGTAAACTTGAGCAAGTCATAACCACTCTGAGTCTCAGTTTCTTCACCTGTAAAATGAGGACAGTGATACCTACCTTTTAAAGTTGCCTTGAGGATTAAATGACAGAACGTATGTAAAACACCTAGCAAGTGCTTAGCCCATAGAAGGCCTTTGGCAAATATTAGTTTTTTTCTCTCCTGTAATAAGTATATAAAACTCAAGTGTATTTTGGATAAAGATATTAATAATATCGTTTAGAGTTTGAGATCGGACTGACACCTATGGAGCAGCTGTTCCAGACCAACCACTGCTAGAATAAAGGCTGACTTATCATCGTGACTTCTGAAGGATATGCAGCTTTCATCTAGCACCACTTCCAACCAAGCCAAAAATAATCATTCATTCAAACTAGAAATGATCCAAGACTCCTCATGAGCTTATTCCCAAACTAGCATCTGAAAGTTACTTTTCTTGAAAGTGACAAATAAATGGCCTTTGACAGTACTTATCAAACCAGTGGCCAAAAAGTCCCTTTATGAGGATAGATGATTCTATAAGAGTGGTTATATTAGAGTTACCCAGTTTGTTTCGGTGCCACATCTTCCGTTGGCTTTTATATTTCCCTAGTGAGCTTCCATTTGGGGACCCACTCAAGAACATGGAGAACATATACGGGCTTCAGCATCATCCTTTAGGGATGAAAAAACTGAGACCCAGAGATGCTAAACAACTTCTCCAGGTTCACACAGCTGAACAGTGGCAGAACCAGGACTGAAACACAGCTCTTCTGACTTCCAGCCCTTGTGCTTTTTTCTTAACCACATTCATTTTATAAATATCTATGTAGTCAAACTCTCTTTTGTAAAATCTTTTGTAAACTGGACTAAATAATGTCTCTGTAGGCTAAGATGGTAGAAACTCATTGTCATATTGGTCTTGAGGAACAAACAGGTATCAGTGAGTGTTGTGTTGTTATAGTGAGCTGTTGTGTATCCCCCAGGAATGTCCAAAGTGATCTGAGCTACTAGATGACTTATTAAGATGTTCAGATTCCATGCCCTCATTCCTCCTCTTCTAGCAACTGGTCCACCCCCAACCTAGACCTCATTGGAATTTGTTGTATTAATGATTGGACCTCCTCATGAAATTTTTTCCCAATAATAGGAGAGCCACCTCTAAGCTAGCCAGGCCCAAGATAGGGAATCATTGCTGTTTACAGTTCTGCTTTTTCTAGTTCAGTTGTCTACTGCATGCAGACATCTCCTCCCCTGACTCCATTCTGCACGGCAGAGGCCATCTTTGCCTTGTCTAATTACCAATGTACTAAGACATCTTCTCTCATTGTTCTTAAGTGGTGTCTGCCATCCTTAGACATTTTCTGCAGATGCGAGCTCAATGCTGCCCTTTTATTCCTACCCACTTCAAGGTCTTCCTCCCTTCGTCTATCATTTGTAGAGTCCAGTTTTTGTATATTATCTTTTATTAGGACAGCTGACAGCTTTACACCAAAGCTGAAGTCTCATTTAATCCTAAACAAAGGGACTAGAGGAGAACTAAAGTCCCCTTCCCATATCAAGGTGCATAGGTTACCAGGTGGGTGAAGGTCTCTAACAGTCCCACTCACCTTTCAGAATTTAGGCCTAAGAAGTTTTCATTTGTGACTGAGTATGTTTGCATAGACATATCAGTTAAAAGCATCTACTGAGGTATCCTGAGAAGACTTTTATCATTCCCTTTTATTTCTATGGGATTAATTTTGGGGGGGGGTGTGTGGCAAATAGTATCAAACACACACACACACACACACACACACACACACACACACACACACACACCCCCCATTGTGGAGTCTCCACGCAACACTCAAAAATA